GGATAAGGTGATTAAATGTGCAGAGATTACCATGCAGAATGCTATCCTATTGCAGCAAGAGATTCATCAGCTTTGCACAGAAAACCAACGCCAAAAAAGAAAGCGACAAGCATCTAGATATTTTATTCAAGCAGGGGGGAGCTTGACAGGTGCTGAAGGGCAGCAAAAAGCTCAAGAGCATGAGCAACTGCAGGAATCATCTCGACGACCACGGAGACCACCAAGGTGCAGTAATTGCAATCAAGAAGGCCATAATCGGCTTAAATGTCCTAATAAATAGTGCCTTTTCTTTTATATAGGAAAATATAATAGATTTTGTTGCAATAATCTTCAAGATTTTCGGTCACATTGGGCTGCAACTCTTGGCCAAGGACTGACCAGCTCGGTGGTGTGACCAGCTCGGTGGTGGATTACGTTATAGGGATTAGAAAGCTCTACCTTAGGCTAACTTAAAAAGGTACTATTTAGATCTTATATAAGGTTAGAGGTATAAAAATAATCCTAAAGCTTTAAGATATTCTTTACTACCCTAATACTAGTATAAACCTAGTTTTAATATCCTATAATAGGATATACCTTTTGACCTTTAGGAAACCCTTATTAAGCTAATATTACTTAGTTATATAATTAAAAACCTTAAACTAGAAATCTGGTACTAGTACCTTATTTATCTAGATAAAGGGAGTATTAAGTAACTATAAAAGATATTAATTAGTATTAACCTATTTCTAGATAGGTACCTCTACCTATCTTATATTAAAAAGTATATAAAAGAGGACCCCTATAAGTATAGAATTAAATAAGGTATTTATCCCTTTAAATTTATCTATATTAATCTATATAGTCTATTTCTTATTAAAGGATATAATAGCTCCTAATACTAGGTTATTTTTAAATAACTTTATTTAATAAATAGAAGTTATACTTACTAATAAGAAGAGTAACCTTCTTAAGGAGTTTTAATACTTCTTAATATATAATAAGTACCCTAAGTATTACTATTATTAGGTTTATTTTAATAGTATAGGGGAGAATAGTAATAAAATGTTTATAGATAAGTATTATAATTAAGGAATTACCTAGGAACCCTCTATACCTTATTAATATAAATAAAATAGTACTACTAAGTTACTTAATTAGATTATTATAGATAAGCTCTACCTTATATTTATTAAAGCTAGGCCAGATATAAAGTAGTAACTAGAGGTACTTTATATAGTTACCTATTTATAGAATTAATTACTAAGTATAGTTATTAATAAGATACCTTATAAGGCTTAGTGTAGTAAAAAACTAGACTTAGTATACCTTTATATTATAGGCTATATAGCCTATTTATTAAAAGTAAAAAGAAAAATAGGAAATTTATAGATATAAAGGTACTTATATATAAGCTTCTAAGGTATAAGGGTAATTATATCTACTATCTATTAACCTCTAATAGCAGAATTATTTATTCCTTTAATATCTATTTCTAAGAGGAGTAGCCTTATATATTAGATTCTAATGTTTTTAGACCTCTATAAAAATATCTATAGCTTATTATTAAAGGGGAGGATTATCTAATTAATTATTATTATTATTATTCTTCCATTTTAGAGAGCGTTTTTCAGTCAGAGACTATGCACGCTCTGCCTACCACCTAGGCAGTAGGGCTTAGTAGCTAATATCTATATACAGGTGGGTTATGCTATAGACCAGTCAACAGTGGGAACCTTCTATGAGGGACAGAAATAGGGAATGAGAGACAGGCTGTAGTATAATGTAAGAATCAAATGTTAAGGAACAGTAGGTATAGGTGGATTTAACAAAGAAAAAGAAATGAGAGAAAGAACAGAAAAAAAACACAAAGGGGAGTCAGGATAGGAGAGGTGGCTTAATAAGCATGATTAGATAATCTATGCCTAGTAAGCCTGGTTCTATGGGTTAGACTAGGTAGTAGGGTTCTTGCTTAATCATTAGCTCCTATGTGCCATTCCTAGTG